GCTTTAGGCTTCCCTTCTCTTCCAGCTCCCCCGCAATCCCCACGCACAGGGGCGGATTAACCAGTCAGCAGACTAAGCACGTGCTTAGAGAGCCAGTTTGGTGTAGTGGTTAAGTGCGCGGACTCTAATCTGGGAGAACCGGGTTTGATTCCCCGCTCCTCCACTTGCACCTGCTGATGTGACCTTGGGTCAGTCACAAGCTCTGGCACAGCTATCCTTGAAAAAGAGCAGTTTGTGTCAGAGCTCTCTCAGCCCCACCCACCTCACAGGGTGTCTGTTGTGGGGAGGGGAAGGGAAAGGAGTTTGTAAGCCGCTCTGAGACACCTTTGGGTAGTGAAGGGCGGGGTATAAATCCAATCTCTTCTTCTTCTCTTCTTAGGGTACCAGGGCCAAAGGGGGCACCACAAAGTCGGGGAAAGGGTGAAAAGAAAAAAACAAAACACAAATGAAGATTTGTAAAAAAGAAATAAATTGATAAAACTAGTGTAGATTGATCATCGTGCACTGTAATGTATCCAGTCCAGACCGCGTGGCCTGCTTGGGCTCCACGCGGTCAGGCACAAAGGTCGAGCTTCGCTCCAAGAGACAATGGACTATGTGGATCCTAGCCCGCTCCAATCAGGGGGCTAGAGAGCTTATGGGACTCTCTGCCACTGTAAATAACCTATTGGGAAGTGGGGGTGTGTTTTGGGTGGCGGGTTCTCGGGGAATATAAGCCGGCCTGGCAGCCGGCAAAAGTCATCTTGTTCCTGATCGAATAAAGTACACTTTGCTGAAATCATTCTCCGTCTGCGTACTTTTCATGCACCCTAGGGTTATCTTCTATTTTTTGTTGGCGAGGTGCAGTGTCATAGGCTATGTTTAAAAGTAAAATGGATTTGTGTAAAAGGAAAATGAGGGAGCCAAATTCATTGTCAGTGACTGCAACCTGCATTGTATATCTGGTCAGACAGACAGGTCAACAACTAAAATGGACTGGGGGCAATGCTCCCTCTAAGCCGTGGAGTCCTGTGAGGAAAAATTCTACTTTGTGAGCTACCACATTAAAGTTGGGGGCAGGCAGGTGATTTGGCGACTGCATAAATTAGCTTGCTCTGGACTGGAGCCCTCCTTCCTGAGCCGAGACAAAAATGTGTGAGCCGGAGGCTAAGAAACTGTGAGCTGGCTCACACTAGCTCAGCTTAGAGGGAACACTGATGGGGGTCAGTGTGGAAAGGAGAGAGGGGCACCAATATGGGTCAGTGCTGAGGGCACCCGTGAGCCTTCATCCGCCCCTGCCGCAGTTCCGGGACAGTGTTCCCTCTAAACTGAGCGAGTGTGAGCCAGCTCACAGTTTCTTAGCCTCCAGCTCACACATTTTTGTCGGCTCAGGAAGGGATGGCTCCGGAGCACTGCTCCCTCTAAGCTGAGTTGGTGTGAGCTAGCTGACCGTTTTTTAGCCTCCAGCTCACACATTTTTGTCGGCTCAGGAAGGGATGGCTCCGGAGCACTGCTCCCTCTAAGCTGAGTTGGTGTGAGCTAGCTGACCGTTTTTTAGCCTCCAGCTCACACATTTTTGTCGGCTCAGGAAGGGATGGCTCCGGAGCACTGCTCCCTCTAAGCTGAGTTGGTGTGAGCTAGCTGACCGTTTTTTAGCCTCCAGCTCACACATTTTTGTCGGCTCAGGAAGGGATGGCTCCGGAGCACTGCTCCCTCTAAGCTGAGTTGGTGTGAGCTAGCTGACCGTTTTTTAGCCTCCAGCTCACACATTTTTGTCGGCTCAGGAAGGGATGGCTCCGGAGCACTGCTCCCTCTAAGCTGAGTTGGTGTGAGCTAGCTGACCGTTTTTTAGCCTCCAGCTCACACATTTTCGTCTCGGCTCAGGAAGGATGGCTCGGGACTTGCAGTGTTCCCTCTAAGCTGAGCTGGTGTGAGCCAGCTCACAGTTTCTTAGCCTCCGGCTCACACGTTTTCGTCTCGGCTCAGGAAGGATGGCTCGGGACTTGCAGTGTTCCCTCTAAGCTGAGCTGGTGTGAGCCAGCTCACAGTTTCTTAGCCTCCGGCTCACACGTTTTCGTCTCGGCTCAGGAAGGATGGCTCGGGACTTGCAGTGTTCCCTCTAAGCTGAGCTGGTGTGAGCCAGCTCACAGTTTCTTAGCCTCCGGCTCACACGTTTTCGTCTCGGCTCAGGAAGGATGGCTCGGGACTTGCAGTGTTCCCTCTAAGCTGAGCTGGTGTGAGCCAGCTCACAGTTTCTTAGCCTCCGGCTCACACATTTTCCTCTCGGCTCAGGAAGGAGGGGCTCCAGAGCAAACGCACTTCTGCAGTGGCCCGATCGCCCGCTCACCCCTTTCACGCCGGCAGCTCCCAAAGTGGGATTTCGGCTTCCGAGGCTCCGCAGCTTAGAGGGAGCATGGGACGCCTTTCCTTCCCTCTCACCGTGACTCTTTTTTTTTTTTAAACACAATTGCAACAAAACAATAATACATACAATAAAATATAACCAACAGAAATAAAAAGCAGTAATACAATAAAACCTCACGCTTCTAGTAGGGTTGCCAGTAGGGCTCTTTTTGTAGCAGGGACTCCTTTGCATATTAGGCGACACATCCCCTAATGTTGCCAATCCCCGAAGAGCTTACAGCAGCCCCTGTAAGAAGAGCTCTGTAAGCTCTCGGAGGATTGGCTACATTAGGGGTGTGTCGCCTAATATGCAAAGGAGTCCCTGCTACAAAAAGAGGCCAGCCTCCAGGTGGGGCCTGGAGATCTCCCGCTTCTACAACTGATCTCCAGCTGACAGAGATCAGCTCCCCTGGAGACAATGGCTGCTTTGAAGGGTGGGCTCTTTGGCATTCTACCATGCTGAGGCCCTTCCCCTCCCCAAACCCTGCCCTCTTCCAGATCCACCCCCAAAGTCCCCAGGTATTTTCCAGCCCAGAGCTGGCAACCCTAGCTCCTAGGCAGAGCAGGCAGTGTTGAGTAGGCAATAATTTGATTCATCCTAAGGCAGCTTTTAATGTTTAAACTCTCACCGTGACTCGGCAAAAGGAGCGACTGGCCCGGCCCAGGAAGAGACGTTTGCAAACACGTCCGCCCGCCTGCGTCACCGGCTCGGGCCCTTTCCAAGAGAGACGCCGGCCGGGGGGGGAGCTCCGCTTGCAGCAGCGGCGGCGCCGCCTCCTGGAGCCCCGGAGCCCCCCGCCCGGCATCGGGGCCTGGGGTTGGCATGCACCCCAGCAGCCCGGACGGCAAGACAACGGCTACGGCGTGTGTGCGTGCTTGGAAGGGCTCCTGTGTCCATCGACACCCCCCCCCGTTCCCCAGCAATGGTGCAGTCCAGGCCGGCCTCTCTCTCCCGACCGGTATAAGCGCGCCCGAGAGAAGCGGGGGGTTCGCAGGCGAGCGTCGGTTGGGCATGGAGGACGAGGGCGTCCGCAGCATCCACTCGCACGGCATCCCCGCCACCCACCGGGTGCCCATGCGGGTCATCATCCGGCCCATCCCGCCCGTGCTGGACGAGCGCAAGGTGCAGAGCCTCATGCGGACCATCCAGGTGAGCGAGGGAGCGAGCGGGGAGCCTAAGTTCTGGCTCCAGCCTGTTCCCCCATAGGCTAGAGGGTAGAGATGTGAAGGCCCGGGAAAAAACCGGAAAAATTTGGGGGAAAAACGTTTTTTCCCCGAATTTTTTTTTGTTTTTTTTTCCGAAAAATTGAAAAAAAGAAAAAAGAAAAAGATTATGGAACGTTTTATTTTAACACGATGAATGCAATGTTTCAAGACAAGGGGTTCAAATATTTTCCAAATCCTTTCTAAAATATATCATCATCATCATTATTTATTAGGGTCAAAAGACCCATCAAACAGCATACAGGATCATAAAAAGCAAACCCAGGTTAGCAAAACATTCCAGAGAAGATACATCATAAGGAATATTAAGGAGGAGCTTGCGCTTTGCAAATGCAATAAAAAGAAATATATATATGCGGTATCAGATTGATCTAATTCCTGTGCACGGAGGACAAGCAAGTCCTAGCTTACCAACGGAACTCTCCAATGCAAGAACAAGATGCATTTCTTCCTTTAGGAGGTGCGATGGTCAGAAGAAAAGAAAAAGGTTCCAGCTTTGTTTTTGCATGTGGGTGGGTATTCTGTTTGTAATAATTGTTTGGATGCACTATATTTTTAATAGGCTAGTTGTGATAATTTCATGCCAAATAAAAATGTCCATAGTCATATTTTATGTTCCTAAAGTAACAGAATGACTTTCAATCTGGAAAAGACAAAAGAAATGCTAATGTAGCATTTTTTTCAATTTTTCTGAAAGTTTCCGTTTTTTCCGAGCTTCAAAATTTCCGGAAATTTTACATCTCTACTCGAGGGCCAGAGCGGGAGCGTGCCCCTGTAGGGCTGGTTGCCAGTCTCCAGGCGGTGGCGGGGGAATCTCCCGGGATTACGGTTGCGCTCCAGGCAACAGAGATCAGTTCGTCTGGACGAAATGTCCACTTCCAAAGGCGGACAGTTTGGTGTGGTGAGAGCCAGTCTGGCATACTGGTTAGAAGCGGGGACTCTAATTTGGGAGAACCGGGTTTGATTCCCCACTCTTCCTCATGCAGCTGCTGGTGTGACCTTGGGTCAGTCACAGGCTCTCTCACGAGTGATGGATCTTGGCCTAGCTTGCTCTAGGCCCCCAAACAGCCTTATAGCAAAGACCCCAAAGCATAGAGGCTTCGGCTAACTTATTCACGTTTGCTGCAAAAGCCAGAGGTTACTGATTAAGCCTTTGGCCATTAGCTGTTATGCCTAGCCGACTCTTAACTATGCATACTAATTAATGTGCACCTGAGGAACATATCCATAGAAGTTAAAATTACTTCAAAGGATTGGTATCTAGGGAACCCAGGTATGCTACGGCGGGACGCTAAATCGGGAAACTTGTACCAGTCTTTGATAACATGAAAGCACAGGAACTTGGCATGGGTGAAATGTCAAGTCCCCAGAATAGATCTTTAAGGACAGGTATCTTTAGGAAAATAGATTACACCTCCGCTTGTTGAAACTGTATATTAAGCACGGATGTAACTTCATGCTCTTCGGAAAAACCCTTTGCTTTACACACTTTCCCCCAGAACTCACCCAAGATAAATGGCTAGATATCTGGAGAACCTATGAAAACAAATCTCCTATAATTACACAAAAATGGCAAAGTTTCAGAATAATATCCACCCGGTACAAAACTCCTCAACAAATATCATACTTTGCAAATAATTCAAGCCCACTTTGTTGGAGGGAGTGTAAGGAAATAGGCAGTTACATACACTGCTGGTACGATTGCCTGGAGGTAGCATCCTTCTGGGATAAAATAATAGAGGAAATAACGATCATAACCAAAAGCAAGATAGACAAATCCCCGGAAGCTCTGCTTTTAAATCTCAGAGAGGAAAAAGCCCTATCTAATACACAAAAGAAAAGAATCTCTCTGTTACTATTTGCAGCCAAAACCACATTAGCAGCCACATGGAAATCCACGAGTAGGCTAAATGTAAACCCTCTGGTACAAAAAGCTATGGAACCTTTATATAATGGAGAAAATCTCAGATAAGCTGAATCAAAATCAATCTAGAGGTGGTCAGAATGACTTTGTATGTATATGGTACCCCATACTAGTGCATCTATCTACCAAAGAAAGAGTACCTGATGTAATAAACACCCTTCATCTATGGTCATTTGCAAACTGTATAATATCGACAAACTATGAAATGTATGAAGCCATTGAAAGCTATGCTCATGCTTATCTTGTAAATCATTGCTGTTTATGAAAAAGAATAAAAATTATCTGTTAAAAAAAAAGAAGGAAAAACCCTTTGCAAGTTTTTCCCACTTTGCTAGCAATAAAGCTTTAACTAAAATCTTCTGGGTCTCTGGCTCCCTTGTGTTTCCTAATCAGAATACAGGTAACATGAGGTCTCTATTGAGGTAACACGAGCAGTCCTCGGAAG